ATTTTTATATGTGCATGAGTATTTTGCCTGTGTGTATGTGTGCACTACTATGTGGTTTCTTGGTGCCCAGAGAGGCTAGAAGGTGCTGGATGGCCTCGGCATGGAGTTATAGACGGCTGTGAACTGCCATGTGGGTGCTGGGAACTAAACCAGGGTCCTCTGCAAGAGCAGCAAGTGAATTTAACTCCTGATCTAGCTCTTCAGCTTCAATAAACTAGACTTTTATTTTGGTGGAAAAAAAGAAAACCTCCCAAACGTAAAACTCTAGTAATTTACAAGAGTTAATAGGAGCTTTAAAAACTACATCTAGGTTAGGAGACATTAAAAAGAAATAAAAATTTAATAAAATATTAGAAAGTATTTAGAGGCTATATCAGAGCTAAAGATAACTTCTGGTCACATTCCCTCCTCTCTTTTCTTTAACTTTGCTTCTTACTTCTTAATCTTTAGGAAATAAATTCTCTCCATAAAAGTTATTACAATTTGTTTTAAATATAAATGCTAAAGAAAAAGTATTTTGTGCTATATCAAAAATTCCTGGGCTGGAGAGATGGCTTAGCAATTAAGAGCACTGTCTGCTCTTCCAGAGGACCCAGGTTTAATTCCCAGCATCCACATGGCACCTCACAACCGTTTGCAAATCCTGATCCAGGGGATCTGACACTCTCTCAGATATGCGTACAGGCAAAACACCAATGCACACTGTAGGGCCCTGCCCGCCCCCCTTTTGGGTAGCTGTTGTCTTGCTTGCTGACCTTGACCAGATGTCCTCCCTATGCTATTCCCCTGCTGGTTTCCTTCCTCCTGAACACTCACTGCTCACCGGAGGTTCCTTGTTTGTGTATCCTGCATATTGGGCGTAAACAGCTTAGATGCGAGAATGTAGAACATCTGTAGCAAACTTCTGCCCTCCCGGGTTCTCCCATTGTGCTGTAAGCCTGTATTTAAGGTTTCTTCCTTCTTTCAATAAACCCCATTGGCATTCTGCTGGGGTGAATGACCCGCTGTCTTTTGTCTCTGTTTTTTGATCCACAGCCCCTTGCTGGGACATGGTGAAAGGGTGGTGGTAGTGTGGGTGTTACTGCTACAACACACAAAGTAAAAATAAAGTATGAAAAATTTCACATTTGTAAACCTACTTTAGTTTTGGAAGCGGTACTCACTCTTCTTGAGTGGCTCTCTTTCTCTAAACCCTGGTGCTTCATTATACCAGCTAGTCCTAAAATTCCTGTCAGTGTGGAAGCCCAAATTCTAGTTTGGCCTCTGTATTTGAGGTCCCTAAAAGCACAGGAGAAGTCCTCAGGTTGCTAAAGATGATAACATATAGCTATGTCTTGGCTTCCCATGCTGATAACATTTCTGGGGATTCTTGCCAGGATCCATCTTGAAGCATCGTTGATGAATTGGCCTGACTGCTGTTCGGCTGATCATCCCTGCTACGCATGGCCTGAGTGTTACCTTGAGTTCCTTTTGCCAGAGGCCATCAGAATATGCAGCAGATGACAACTGATATTCATAAGGTCGACCCACCAGATGAATAATTCTCTGATAGAGGAACCTCGTCAAGCAAGGCTTACAGGGCCACAGACTAGGGATGCTGTCTGCTTCTGTCTGTAATTGTCTTGTGTGCTACCACAATTCTCCCTTAAACAGCTATGGGCTTCTTCCCACAGCTTATTGGTAGCGTGTTCTCTACTTGTCAGGCACATTTATTCCTGTGGATCGACAGAAAAATGATTCCTTCTTACACTGTGTAATTTTGGTAAATAAAATATACTTTCATAGCCATACCTTTGTTCCACGGAAACTGTGAGAAACTTAGAAATCTGTTTTATGTCCTTAGCTCAGGCTGACAAGACAATTACATACAATTAGCTGATTTAAAACCTTAGCAGCGCAAATTCAGACTAGACCAAATGCCTCTACAAATGGATTGTAAGTCAAACCTTCACAAATAATGCACAAGGACAGAGTGACCAGATATCCGATTTGTTGAACCAAGGTTACTAGGCACAAAGCAACCTAAATTTCTATGTCAGTCTCTCTTGTCAAGTCTGGCTGGTAACACAGACTAACGATCAACTCCCTACACGAATTCCTTATTACAAGGCTTTGTTTCAGCTAATGATGCACACCGAAACCCATGACCTCATCTTTCAGCGTTAAGATGAAAGGAATTTGAGTCAGCTTTGAACTTCAATTTCCACCTGCTACTTCTCTGACATGGCCACTGGCATCCACACATAAATAAAAATAGAAATAAATCTTTAAAAACCCAACAAGCTATAAATATAAATGAAATATATAAATATATAGTTTAAAAATCTATATTCATGTAGGATTATGTATGTATTGTCACTCATGTGCATATACCCACACACAAGCATACACATATACATAATTGAAAATAAATCTTAAAAAGTTAGTAACCTCTGTTGGTGTCTTAGGGTTTCTATTGCTGTGAGGAGACACCATGACTATGGCAACTCTTAAAAAGCAAAACACTTATTGAGGTGGTGGCTTGCAGTTTCAGAGGTTTAGTCCATCATCATCATGGCGGGGAGCATGGTGGCTGGGAGTGTGACAGCATGCAGGCAGACATGGTGCTGGAGAATTCTGCATCTTGGTCCAAAGGCAGCAGGAAGTGAACTCAGACACTGGGCGGTATCTTGAGCATATATGAGACCTCAAAGCCCGCCTCCACAGTGACACACTTCCTCCAACAAGACCACACCCACTCCACAAGGCCACACCTTCTAATAGCACCATTCCCTTTGGGGGTCATTTTATTTCAAACCACCACAGTTGGGAATAATTGACCTTCTAGCTATCCAATAATGTTTTTATTCTTAGCCTGTTTTGTTGTTTTCTTTCCTGAAATGAGGGGTGGCTCTGCCTCTAGAGCCAGTTTCTCAGTGAGCTCAAACAGCCAATCACAGTTTACTAATATAAGTACATCACAAGGAGCATCCTTAAGGTATCTTCTTCACGATTGTCATGTTTCTGGGAAAACTGGGATGTCTTTGTTGAACTCTTAATTTCATTAAAAGGATTTATGAAATCATTTTAAATTAAATTAATTAGTTTAATTTAATTTCATTAAAAGAATTTACAAAACTCTTAAATTAACTAAATTGAATTAAAATTTCATAAAAGAATTTAGTAATGGACTCAGAGGGAAGGGCTAAGAAATTTTTTTTTTAGCATTTGAGAGAAAATCTCTGTTTTCTGGTGGTTTCTAATTGTCCATCTTGCATTTACCAGTTACATTGATTATTTTTGCCATCCTCTTTTGGGGATGGGTGTCTTTCTATATTTCCTAGGCTGGCTCTGAACTCCTAGGCTCAGGAAATCCTCTTTGTTGCTGGAATCCTAAATGGTTTTATAGTAAAAACCCAGAGCCAGATATTGGAGTAAATGCTGAAAGATCAGAGAGACAAAGGAACAAGCCACAGCCACTTCTCACCTCGCCAACTCCTCGGCCCATCTTGTCTCCAGAAATCCTTAGACTGAATGCTCCTGAGTCCTCAGCCAAAAAGCCAAAAGTCCTCACGCCTTATACGCCTTTCTCCACCCAGCCATTTCACTTCCTATCTCAACTTTCCTAGTGCTGGGATTAAAGGTGTGTGTGTTTGTCAAATACTGATAACAAAGGCAAGAAATCCCAAGTGCTGGGATTAAAGGTGTGTGTGTTTGTCAAATACTGATAACAAAGGCTTGAAATCTCAAGTGCTGGGATTAAACGTGTGAGTCACCACTGCCGGGCTCTGTTTCTTTTAATCTCTTGTAGTCTAGGGTGACCTTGAACTTGCTGATATCCAGACAGACTTCTGCCTCTGCCTCTTGAGTGCTAGGATTAAAGGTGTGTGTCACCACTGCCTGACCTCTGTGGCTAAATCCGTGGCTAGCTCTGTGCTCTGATATTTAGGCAAGCTTTATTTCTGAGATTAGAAATATTACCACACATCTTGGCTCCATCTTCCATGGGACAACAGGTGTGTGCCACCATACCTGTGTAAAAGACCTAAGTTATTTATAGATACACATAACCAAATCAAAGTGAAACAAAAAAAGTAATAATTAAAAAAAATTAAGATTAAATATCCTAAAAAGGGACTCTGATTTCCCTGGTATCAAGCTACAAGTTGAAACATGGGGTGGCCTGTGAAGGTATGAGGCAGAGATGTGGGCTGGCTTTGGTGCTCTGGGGTAGCAGCTTGCCCAGGTCAAGCTATAACAGGAAGTCTGCAGCTATCTCAGCCAGAGCTGAGGGCTTCAATTTCCTGTCTGTGATTCTTCACCCGAGAAAGACTTTGTTTGGGATGGCACGCGTCTGTGCTGAAACACAGCTTTCCTGGACAATCCCTGGAACTTACTGAATGGGCCACATGGGCAGCTGGTATGGGGGAGGTCTGGCTTCTGCTTTTCCCTGGGACTGTGAGGCTCCATGGAAACCCAGAGCTGGCTCAGGAAAGGGTGCCTCTAACGGATGATGGCCTTGTCCCCTTTGTAAGCCTCAGTTTTCCTTAGGTACAATGGGTGTGACCTGATGGCCTTTGGAGCCTCTCTGGGTCCTGTCGTGTTTCCAGGCTGCGGAATGGGCCCAGGCTCCCAGCTTCTGCAGGCTGTATTCACAGTTCCTGTGGTCCTAGGCTTTGGGAAGCCATCCAAACATCGAGAAAATGTCTCTCTTGTGCCTGTTCAGCCTGAAGGGACACGTGGCTCCTTGCACCTGCTTCTACTTGGGCACAATCGCCCTTTGAGTGCAGAGCTGGGGGGCTTCCAGGAGACGGGAAGCTGCTCAGTAGCCCCAGAGTTAGTAGTGGGTGAGCAGAACAGCGCACATCACGGAGCTTGTGGCCCGGACTGAGGTTGGTAGACTCAGAGGACCTAAGGCGTGGAACTAGTGGCGGTCAGCACAGTCCTCCGTGGTCTGTGGAGCCTGCTACTGCTTTATGTGAGTGACTGTCCTCTACTTCTCCATCCTGCGAAGTCATGCTAGGTCCCTCCTGAGGCTTGAGCTTTGTCCAGGGCCCATGCTAGCATTCTGCTCTCTTTACTTCCCCTCAGTGCTCTGTGTTAGTTACTTCTGTATGGCTTATGGTAGGCTGGTCAGGAGTGGCTGTGTGGGCTGTGTGTGTCTGGCTCTAGTCTGGCCTGGGGTGCCTGGTGGTGAGCTGTTTGGCTGGTGGTGGCGGTCTGGTCTAGATGGCTGTGGGCTCTGGACTGTTCATGTCCTGCAGGTAATGCAGGCCCTGCCTTCCCATCGACCCCTACATCAGCTATATACACTTACCTTCTGGTCTGCCATTGCGCAATATGGATAGTGAGTGGTCCCTGGCAGGCTCAGTTCATGCCCTCAACCTACCCCTCATTTGGTCTTTCTTTGAGAGGCCAAGTGGGAAGAAACATGCTCTGGGATTATCTGGCCACTCTTCTGTGACTTCGGTTCCATGGAAGTGTTTCTCCCAGCTGTCCCTCAGTCCAGGGCCCCACAGATGGGGATGCAGGGGTGGAGGTCCAGACAAGAAGGGGTAAGCTGCTCATAGGCAGTGCTGATCACACAGAGACTGTAAGCTGCCTGATCCTTGGCTTGTGGGTGAGGTTAAGAAGTGGCTGCATGCCGGGCGGTGGTGGCCCACGCCTTTAATCCCAGCACTCGGGAGGCAGAGCCAGGCGGATCTCTGTGAGTTCGAGGCCAGCCTGGGCTACAGAGTGAGTTCCAGGAAAGGTGCAAAGCTACACAGAGAAACCCTGTCTCCTGGCCCTGGATTGCTGTCCACCCGCTCCCCCGCTTTCTCAGCCTCACATTGACCCTGCTCTGACAGGGAGGAACCAATTTAATCAAGCCAGGACCTCTCCGGTCTCTTGGCTGTCCCTTTGCTGCCTTTGATCAGCCCGGAGCCTGGCTCTCTCTGGTGCATGTGAGAGCCACTTGGTACATATGCTGCAGGTGAAGACAGCTTTGCTGTTCTTCTCCAGACCACGGGGCAGCCCAGGGGTCCACTGGGTGCATCCCCTGTGTCTGAAGCTATTTTTCTGTGGAGACTTCTGGACCTCCCTTCTGATTCCGTGTGGGTAGGTTCCAGTGTTCCTCTGCTGTGTGGAGTACCTTCTCTGGTCCCACACACCATAATTGTGGACAACGAGCCCCCCCACTTTTTTTTGTCCGATTTTGTCCACTTGCCTGTACTCTTATTGGCGAGTTCTGTGATGATATGCATGCAAGAGACACCAGCTGCCAGGATGTGGGGTCTCTCTGCCCAGATCCCCAGCATGCCAGCACCGGCTAGCCTGGCAAAGGAGCAGCTTGGAGAGGATGGAGGGGCAAGTTTCTACAGAGATTTGGGGTGCAGTGGCTGTGAGGGGGCGTGCTGATGGGTTGTGAGACAACTGAGGTGAGGGAGATGGAAAGTGTCATCGGGATGGGCAGGCGGGTGTGGGGTTGGCTTTGGGCCATGTAACCTTGTGGAGCTTCCTCTCCAACAGACTCTAGGTGCCCTGCTCCTACCTGAAGGGCATGGGGGCCCCGCGTGTTCCCAGAAGGACGGTGCTCTTCCAGCAGGAGAGGACAGGCCTGACCTACCGTGTGCCTGCACTGCTCTGCGTGCCTCCCCGTCCTACCCTGCTGGCCTTCGCGGAACAGCGACTTAGCCCCGATGACTCCCATGCCCACCGCCTGGTGCTGCGGAGGGGCACACTGGCCCGGGGCTCAGTGCGGGTGAGTGCTAGGTGCAGAGCGGAAACTCAAGGGCAGCTCTGCTGACACCCCTCAAGGTCAGGCTCCGGATGTCATGACCAGCTGCCTCTTTTCCCTCAGTGGGGCACCCTGAGTGTGCTGGAGACTGCGGTGCTGGAGGAGCACAGGTCTATGAACCCTTGCCCGGTGCTGGACGAACACTCTGGTACCATCTTCCTCTTCTTCATTGCGGTGCTGGGCCACACGCCGGAGGCCGTGCAGATCGCCACTGGCAAGAACGCCGCTCGCCTCTGTTGTGTGACCAGCCGTGACGCCGGCCTTACCTGGGGCAGTGTGCGAGACCTGACCGAGGAGGCCATTGGTACAGCATTGCAGGGTAGGTGACGCCTGCCTGGTGTGGGATGGGGCTCGTGGTGTGGGGTGCAGGAACAGAGTGGGTAGGGACAGGACAGGGCAAGAGGGGCGCGGACTCAAGTGGGATTGGGCTCGTCCCTCGCATAGGTCCGGCAACCGCTTGGAAATCTTCATTCCGCCTCTCCTATCCCCAGCTTCTTGCCCCACATCCTCCACAAGCAGTGACTTCCTGTCTTCAGGACTGTCTGGCGTTTCCCAAGCACCTTCAGTGCCAGGCCCATGGGTGCTGGCAGGGCTGGCGACTTAAGCCCACAAGGGGCTGTCCTCGTCTTGGTCTGTAGAGAAGAGGGTTAAGTCTCTTATTTCCAAACGTTTCCGCTTCCTTTCCCATTTTGCCTCTTCCTCCTCCGGCCCCGGTCTGTGGGCCCCACGCTTTTTTTTTCCCTCTCACCTCTGCAGTCCCCACTCCACAGGGGCTGACCTACTGATCGGCTGCTCTCACCACCCTGACCCCTGCTGATAGGCAGTGGCCCTAGGGGCTACAGGATACGGCCCATGAGTGCTGCATAGAGGGATGTGGTGGCTTCTGGGAGGTGGACCAAGAAACAGGGCTCATCCTAAAACCTCATCCAAGGTCCTCTCCACTGCTCTTCTGTAGCAAGTGCCCCAGAGGTTGAGCGCTCTGTTGGAGATCATTAAAACCTCTGTTGGCCAATGGCTGGGGAGTGGCTCAATGGTAGACCACTTATTTGGCCTGGTTTCTGTGCTTTGCACCCCACGACGAAAAGCAGAACACGTGACCAAGGGGCTGGAGAGATGACTCAGAAGTGAAGACTTGAACAGCTCTTGAAGAGAACTGGAGTTCAGTTCCCTGCACCTGGATTGGGTGGCTCACAACTTCCAGTCCGGGTGCATTCTGGGTCCAGTATAGGGAGGCAGTCAGCTGAACTAACCCAAGGTTCTGGCTCCCTCTCTCTCTAGACTGGGCCACCTTTGCTGTGGGTCCAGGCCATGGAGTTCAGCTACACTCAGGTCGCCTGCTTGTTCCTGCTTACACCTATCATGTGGACCGTCGGGAGTGTTTTGGCAGGATCTGCTGGACCAGTCCCCACTCCTTGGCTTTCTATAGCGATGACCATGGCATCTCCTGGCACTGTGGAGGCCTTGTGCCCAACCTGCGCTCTGGAGAGTGCCAATTGGCTGCAGTGGACGGAGACTTCCTCTACTGCAACGCCCGGAGCCCCCTGGGCAATCGTGTGCAGGCCCTGAGTGCTGACGAGGGCACCTCCTTCCTACCAGGCGAGCTGGTGCCTACGCTGGCTGAAACTGCCCGTGGCTGCCAGGGTAGCATTGTGGGCTTCCCAGCTCCACCCTCCAGCAGGCCTCAGGATGACCGGTGGCCAGTGGTTCTTGGGAATATCCCACCTTCCCCATGCTTCCATCTCAGAGTGCAGGAGTCTTCAGGTCAAGGTGCTGGGGGTCCTGTTGAAGGCTGGGTTCCCAGAGGGTCATTCTGCTCCCCACAGTCCTGGGGTCCAGAGAATCTTGGCCTAGAACCTGGGACAGGTGGAGAGAAGACAGCCTGGACCCCAGAACTCCCTAAGTCCTCTGCTTCCCTGCTTCAGAGTCCCACGTGGCTACTGTATTCCCACCCATCAGGGCGTAGATCTCGGCTCCACATGGGAATCTACCTGAGCCGGTCCCCCTTGGACCCCCACAGCTGGACAGAGCCCTGGGTGATCTATGAGGGCCCCAGTGGCTACTCTGACCTAGCGTTCCTTGGGCCTATGCCCGGGGCATCCCTGGCCTTTGCCTGTTTGTTTGAGAGCGGGACCAGGGCCTCCTACGAAGACATCTCTTTTTGCTTGTTCTCATTGGGTGATGTCCTGGAGAATGTGCCCTCGGGCCTAGAGGTCCGCAGTCTCAGGGACAAGCCTCAAGGGCATTGCTGGCCCTCTTGATGGCCCGATCCTCTGGCAGGCACCTGGGAAGGAAGGGTAGAGTGTATAGAGGAGGCTAGGGGCAGGTCAGCCTGACCCTGGGATGGACAGAGTCTCCTCACTGCTTCTGGAGGATGAGTCACTGGGGGGGCTGGCTGCTTTCTGAGTATGAGTGAGAAATAAAGGGATTGTGCTGTGTCTGTTTCTTCCCACACCAAAGCCTTGGGTCCCAGCGCTCTAGTTCACCACCTTGATTACCACACACATTTCCCACCTTCACCCTACACAGTTCCCACATCCCGGGGGTGGCTGGCAGGGGTGAAGACAACAGGAACAGTGGACATCACGGCCCCTCTTTCCACTACCCGCTGTGTGCCAGCCCAATTAATCCGAAGTTTGCTGATGACTGAGGTCTGGTCACTTTCTGAACTGCCAGCAGGAGAAGCAGGCTGGGGAGGCAGCCTCCCCAGCTGGTGGGGACAGAGCTTGATTTGAGGAAGGGTTACTTCCTAGGCCTGCTCCAAGTGCCCACTTCTTCACCCTTCTCTGGAGAGGGCTCTTGCTCTATCAGAGCTGCTCCCTCAGGGAAGCCAGTTTGTTCTCTCTCTCTCTCTCTCTCTCTCTCTCTCTCTCTCTCTCTCTCTCTCTCTCTCTCTCTCCCTCCCTCCCTCCCTCCCTCCCTTCCTTTCTTTTTCTTTTCTTTTTTTCCCCCTTGAAACAGGGTCTCTCTACATAGCCCTGGCTGTCCTGGAACTCAATCTGTAGACCAGGCTGGCCTTGAACTCAGAGATCTGCCTGCCTCTGCCCCCCTAGCGCTGGGATTAAAGGCGTGCACCATTACCCAGTACCCTTTTGTATTTCTTATTAAAGTCCTAATTTCTGATCATAAAAACAGTCCGTGGGGGCTGGGAAGATGGCTCATTCAATAAAGCATTTGCCAATGAATCATGGGCATCTATGTTTTATCTCTAGCATCATGTAAAAAGCCTGGTTTCGTGGCACACTTATAATCTTAGTACTGGAGAGGTAGAGATCAGTAAATCCCAAGACTCCCTGGACAGACTGCTTAACCTAACTGGCATGCTCCAGGTCTCAGTGAGAGCCTCTGTCTTAAAATACAAAGTGATGGCTTCTGAAGAATGTCTCAAAGTTGATCTCTGACCTCTAGAAGTATATAAGACACATCCATGCATGCACACTTCTCTACAAAATTAAAAAAAAAAAAAACTAACAGGTATATGGCCATTTCAGAAAACTGGAAAATAGAGAAAAGCTGTACATTTTTGTTTTGTTTTTCAAGACAGGGTTTCTCTGTGTGGCACCCCAGAGGTAGGGAGCGAGGATGTGCTGAGAGTGTCTAGGCTTAGGGCAGGGTCCTGTTTTAGTTTGTGCTCACTGTTAGTAGCCCTGTGCCATGTGCCACAGGCTGGGCAAGCTTTAAAGGAAGGGGGGTGACACTGGCCCACAGTTCTGGGGGTCATGGTTGAGCAGCCATATCTGATGGTGGCTGTCTTGATGGCAGATCCCGAGGGAGTTGAAGGTATGGCATGGTGAGAGGCAGTGTGCGTGTGTGTGAGTGTGTGTGTGTGTGTTGTGTTCCCTGGTCTTATTTATTTACTTAGAGGATGGAGAAACGGCTTAGCTGTTGGGAGCACTTATTGCTCTTGTAGAGTCCTGGGTTTGGGTCTCAGCACCCACATGGCAGCTCACAACCACCCATAAGTCCAGTTTCAGGGGATCCAACTTCCTCTTCTGGCTTCCATGGGTACTACATCCAAGTGGTAAAAGACACACACACAAGCAAGACAGCCATACTCATAAAAAAATCTTCAAAATTTATTATTATTATGATGATGATGATGATGATAATGACGTGTTTGGGGTGGTATATGCACACGTGCATACCCCAGAATGCATGTAGAGCCATAGGACCACTTTGTGGCCACTTTTATGTGGGTTCCAGGAACTGAACTCAGACTGCCAAGTCTGTGTCACCCGCTGAGCCTTCTCACGGTCTTACCAGACCCCTCTCTATATTCTGATTGAGTCCCTTACAGTGTAGAGAGGATACACCTGTTCCTACAGAAGGCCTCTCCTCCTGCCTTCCCACCTCCCCCAACTCTGGCCTATCACCACCGCTCAGGGCATTTGATGGCTCTTGTATGGGGCAAGCTACGCCTTGAGATAGTGCTTCCTCTCCTTAGCACAAGGCTTCCCTGGCGCTGCATGTTCTGTGAGTATCCTGGGTGGTGTGTAGTTTTCTAGCTCCTGGGATCACCAGCTCCAGTGTGACATAGACATGATGTCTAGGTAGGCAGAATAATGCCCCCCTGAAGACAGCCTGCCCTGACCTCAGAACCTGTGAAATGTGATCTTGAAGACCAAACGATTTTCTGAAAGCTCAAGGGAAGATGAGGATCATGTTGGTGATCTAAATGGATCCAGAGTCATCACAGGGCTCTGATAAAAGGGGCAGGCGGACAAAGAACAGGGGACTTGGAGCTGGGTTTGAAGATAGGGGAGGAGCTGAGCGCTACCCCCGCCCCCACCCCCAAGTCTGCGGAAGGAGCCATCCCTGTTGATACCTTAGTGTTAGCCCATGGGACCCGTGTCAGGCTTCCGGTGTTCAAATGTGGAGTAAGTCTGTTGTCTGGAACACAACTGTGTTTCTGACTTGTGAAGCAGTGGCCATGAGACATGCTTTTTCTTTTGGGCCAGCAACTGGCTCCCAAATCATGACACGAGACGTCTTACTAGTTACAGATGCTTGGCCTTATCTTAGCTCTTGTTTTAATCTGTTTCTTCTCATCTATGTCTTGCCTTAGGGCTTTTTCCCTTTCTTTCTATACATCTTCTTCGCTGTCTATGTCTGGCTGGCGGCTGCCTGCCTTCTGGCCCTGGGCATGTCCCTCTCTTTCTCCTCTCTCTTCTTTCTCTTCTTCTCTCCCAAGCCTAGATTTTTCCTCCTATTTATTCTCTCTGCCTGACAGCCTGGCCTATCCTTAACCTGCCTAGCTATTGGTTGTTCAGATTTTTATTAGACCAATCAGGTGCTTTAGGCAGGCAAGGTGAAACAGCAACACATCTTTTCATACTTAAGCAAATGCAGCAAAAATAAATGTAACATATCTTTACATCATGAACAAAGGCAGCAGAAATAAATGTAATACACTTGTACATAGTTAATGTTCTGCAGCATGAACAAATGTAACACACCTTTACATGGTTAAAATAATATTCCACAACATACAGTTGCAGGTAGACAGAAATAAATCATCACTGTCTGTTTTCAGCACAAGGTGCATTTAGACCTCTTCATGAATCACAGATGAGGAGGCACTGTTCCCATGTCTTCCCTAGTTAGAAGCTGGTGCCTGTTTGCCTGGGCGCTGTTTAGTTTATCTTAGGGTTAAAAAGTTACGGATGGTCTGCCCATGGGTCAGGAAAGGGGAGGGGCTTTGGAGCCTCAGAAGGATGGAGAATTTAGGGTGGGGACTGTGTTAGACAAGCAGGAAAGATTGTATCTCTTTGAAGAACTTAGCAATGAGAAATTCAACGGGCAAGGAAATGCTGTTGGAGAAATATGAAACAATACCACTGTTTTGTGCCAAATCAGCATGTCGGCCATTTCTTTTTTTATAGCCACCTGACTTATCAAGATTATAAAATTAACTGCTTCACTTTTACTACTGAGTCTCCAGTAGTGTTATTATAAAGTGAGGACTATTGTTTCTCATACCAGCACCCAGCCCTGCTCCTGTCTCTGGGTCTCCGACGTCTCCCTGGACGAGTCTCATCTCTCTATGACTGTCATTTCACAGCTCTGTGCTTCAGGCAGGTCGGTTCCTCTGGCTGGCTGGCATGGTCTCTGCTCCTTGGGTCCCTCCCCATCCTTTTATCTGTATCTCTATGTCTCCATCTTTATATATATATATATGTATATATATATATATTTGCTTCTGTATTTCTCTTTTTTTTACATGTCTGAATAGTTCTGTTCTGTTATTTTGCCTATTTCTGGGGTAAGAGCTGTCTGGAGGCTTCCCATGTGCTGTGCCTGACATGTTTCATTACATTTAATAAACAAAAAAGCCCTGGTAAGTGGGTATCTTTTCCATGTTTAAGAAGACAGAGTTTCAGGCTTTTTTTTTTTTTTTTTTTTTGTCTGAGACAGGCTTCCTCTGTGTAACCCTGGCTTCCCTGGAACTCACTCATGCTGGTCTTGAACTCAGAGATTGGATTGCCTCTGTCTCCCAAGGGCTGGGATTAAAGGTGTGTGCCACCACTGCCTGGCTGAGTTTGAGTTGTTTAGACCGGACATTCTGGGGATGATCAGTGAGAGACGGCTACCCTGCAGATTTTCCTCAAAATTAGTAAGATACACACAATATTTGTGCAAATGGGCTGCACGTTGCTGAGCTGTGCACTGAAAATGGCCACCAGTGCCCCTTCGTGACTGTCACAAAATGTGAGAGAAAGCCGACTTAAAGGGGAAGACTTGTGTTGAACCATGGTTTCACGCTTTGGCCCAAAGACAGCTGGCTCCATTGTCTTTAGGCCTGTGGCAAGGCAAAGCACTATGGTGGGAGGGATGGCAGAGGAAAGCTGTGCCCACGATGGCAGCCACCAAGGAGAGAGACTGTAGGACTGCGGCCTTGTAGGGCACACCCCCATGACCCACGTCTTCCGACCGTGTCCCAGCAACTAGATTATGAATCCATTGATAAGGCCAGGTCCCCAAGATCCAGTCACTTCCCAGAGTCCATCTCTAAGCATGGCAATGGGCATGTGGTTAGGCACATCAGTGCTGGGGAACATTTTATATGCAAACCATGGCAGATGGACGGTGGTAAACTTTATGTGTATCTTACCACAATAAAAAATTATGGGAGAGCTTGCATAGTGTAGTGTTCTATAGTATACATTCTATATATACTACATTCTATAGTCTAGACACACTGTAATTGTTCAGCATGTCCTCATCCTCATTCAAGGGTGTTCAGAATGTTTTTAGTGTTTCTTCTTCAAAAGTCCCGGAACTTGGAGCCTTACAAATAGATGTACATTTCTGTAGGTCAGATCCCCAAATGTCAGATAGCTAAGCAGAGATCTCTAGAATTTTAACCGGTAGTTCTTTCTTGAAAGGAATAGCCAGATACAGCTTTTGAAGAATAGGCGAGAAGATTTATGTTACGTGACTTTTTCTGGGAGATGTGAAAAGTCTCTATTTGCCCCAGCGAGGGCATCAGGGACAGACTGCAGAAATGTTCCTATCCCAGCATATCTTGTTGAACAAACTATATTTTTGTCATTACTTACTGGTACATAGATGAGGGGTTACTTATAGACACCTTGGTGAATCAAAGGCAGCGGCATCATTGAAAAGCCTACTCCAGGGGCTGGAGAGATGGCTCAGTGGTTAAGAACACTGGCTGCTCTTTTAGAGGACCCTGGTTTGATTCCCAGAACTCACAGAGGCTGACAACAATCTAACTCCAGTTCTCTAGGGTCCTCTGGCATTCTCAGGCACTGCACGAATGTGGTGCAGAGACATACGCGCAGCCCAAAATGAGTTTAAAAAAAGAAAGAAAAGAAAAGCTTACCCCGGCATGGGTGACAACTCATGAATGCTGCACCCCTGAGATCTCTGCATGGCCTAGCTCAGGGAGTCTTCATTACT